GTCCATGTATTATATCAATTACCAAAACACATATAACATTCTAATGTATGTCCATCTATTATATCTATTACTACATCACATATAACATTCTAATGAACATCCATGTTTTATATCAATTACTGCAACACATATAACATTCTAATATATATCCATGTATCATATCAATTACTACAACACATATAACATTCTAATGTATGTCCTTGTATTATATCCATTACTATAACACATGTAACATTCTAATGAACATCCCTGTATTATATCATTTGCCATAACACATGCAACATTCTTATCTACGTTCATGTTTTATATTAATTACTATAACGCATATAACATTCTAATGTGTGTCCATGTATTTTATCAATTACTAGAACACATACAACATTCTTATGTGTATCCATTTATTACATCAATTACTATAACACATGCAATATCCTAATCTATGTCCGTGTATTATACCAATTACTAGAACACATATAACATTCTTATATGTGTCCATATCTCATATCAATTACTACATCATATATAACATTCTAATGTATGTCCATGTATTATATCAATTACTACATCACGTATAATATTCTATTGTATGTCCATGTATTACACCAATTACTATCCAATAATACAAAATTACCTGTCTTGGCTGTGTTTCAGTGGACTAGTATTTTGTAAAATACAGTTACATTTCAATTATTTTACATAATATATGTATATACATGAATACTATTTACAAATACATTTTTAAACTTTATTTTTTTAAATATAGAACAATAAATAAAGAAGTAAAGCAAATAACTATCTCTTCTAGTTACGACCTTTGTACTCGTTTGCTGCTTGTCATAGGTTGCTAAGCCTTATGAAATTTTTCACATGGAGGATGTGAAAAGAAAATGTTTTTTTAGGTTTTATATAAATGGTTTAAATAACCAAAAAATAAAAAATTACTAGATTCATACTATAGAATTCCACTACAACTTATCATGTGTAGTAACTAAGTAATATTTGGGTCTAAAACAATATGAAATTTCGATCTCACATAAGACTTACCTTATCGTTTGAAATATTGTGTGAAAAGAAGGATCTTACCACAATAACACATCAAAATGGCTGAGAAAACCACTAGGGGTACATTCTGAGCTTGTGATTCATTATTCATGTCATATATTAAAGTGTACACAATGGAGCATTTCAAAAAATGGAAAGATGTGAGCACGGCCACTGTGTTTGATTCAATACACGAGTTATATCTTAGCATGTAGAAAAGAAAAAGAGGTTCTTATTTTATATCATAGCTTTGCAATATTGGTAATTTGAAATTCTAATTTGTTCGAAATATATAATTCAAACCAGTGCTGCATTCAACATACCAAATGATACACACAAAAAAATCAATGTTTAGTTGTGTTTTTAATATTTACTTTTAAATTAAGGAATTAACTAATTCATAATACTAAAATATGCAAGGAGAAGATGGAAGGATTGCGTGGATGGAGATATTAGAGAGAAAGGCCTTGTTGGGGACAATTACGAGGACCGAGGAGAGTGGAAACATGCTGTCAAAAATAGCGACCCCGTATAGATACGGGAAAAGCTACAGAAGAAGAAGAAGTGTATGATGAAACTGAGCTGCTGGAAAACAAAACAGTTGATCCATCAAACAGTTTATCTAAACACTCGTGACATCACTGCATTTGAGAAATGAATTTCAAGATTGCTTGCTTCAAGATTTTAAGTGGCACATGGGTTGGTAGCAGATATTTACAAAAAATTTGTTTTTGTGTCAAAAGATATTTATTACTTACAAAAAAAAGAGTTTAATTACATATATATACGAGGGGATTCTAGTTAAGCTATACTTTACACATATTCTTCAGGAGTAAAGTGTTCCTCTAAGGGTATGTTTGGTTTTTGTAAACCATTTCAATCTTGATAGATCATCCACCCTCCAGTGATCCACAAGAACCTTGTGGATTCATCCTTCTGCTTCACAAGTACAATAGACTATGTACAGGAACTAGTACTTGTTTCTCTTACTTCTTTTTTCCTGGAAGTTGCCTGGTTCACAAACGTATTAGGGCTGCACTTCCAGATACAAGTTATTTTACAGGGTTGCACCTCCAGATACAAGTTATTTTACAAGGCTGCACCTCCAGATACAAGTTATTTTACAGGGCTGCACCTCCAGATACAAGTTATTTTACAGGGCTGCACCTCCAGATATGAGTTATTTTACTTGATCACTCTTAAGTCATGAGGTCCATTGAAGAAGATGTATTTATATTTTTGAGCAAATTATGCAGTGGTCAGTGCTGTTCAATTCTAAGATCTTCTAAGCTTTGGTTATACAACTCTTGTAGTTATCTCACAGGTGCAGGCGACCTGTCATGGGATTTTATCGGTGTTTATCCTACGGGAAATTGAACGTTAACAAGGTCAGCCTCTTTCTTCTGTTCTCACCGACAATTCCTCCTTTATGAAGTTTTTCTTAAGAAACATTTGATAACTATCTGGACATTATAAAGATTTTGCATGTGAAATTTGAAAATTTTCTGATGCATAAAAGTATTTTTCATCTTAAAATGAAAATTACTTTGTATCTTAGATAGGCAACATGCAAAAAGAAAAGAAAAGCATGAGAAAAACATTACTTTACAAACCTTAAGATTTAATTTTTAAAAAATTTATATTTTGCATATGAAAGCATTGTAATATTTACTAATAATGTACCAAATTTCATTAACATTTGCTGTGAAAACTATTATCAAGAACAAAATGGTTATGAGGTCATTCCCAGGGACCAAGTCCGTACTGAAAGAATTAACTCTAAATCTGCACTGTACGCCATGTTGAATCATACTTTTTTTCCATAGCTCCGCACGCTCACCTTTGAGATGGTGTGTTTCACAAGATCATTTGAAGGTGAATAACATCGTGATAGTTGTTTCGTAAATTGGTCCATCCCAGACCATACCACCCATGGACTTCATGGGTAAAGCAGAAAGGGATAGCTGCATATTTTGTCAGGCCTTGATTCAATAAATCGTTATGGTCTGCTTTTCAAAATAGGGTTTCATGATCACACATTGCACTGTTTTGGGCGTTGACCTTCCTCCATGCTCTCCAATGCATCCTCACCCTCCTTTCTTCTAGTGGAGTATAGGAGTCCTTATCACTTACCAATTCCAAGCTGCTGGGGTGGTTGACCATAGAGGCACCCTGCTGGATGGGTTCCACATAAGATGATTATAACCATTCAGTTCAGAATAGGATGGTGGTGGTGTTCTGTAAGTGTAGATAATGCAATATCCTCTGAATTACGATTACACGTACAGCAGAGTGAGATTTCAAAGTGCAGTTCACGCTTCGATTGGGAACCCTCTTCCTACCCTTTTGTGGATGTTGGTACCCTGCAGGCTGGTTTTGGTTTTTGAGTGAATCAATGAACATAATCCTTACACAGGTTTTGGGTTATCTTTCTCCCTCAATTCCTCTTTCTGTCTAGTGGGTCACATTAGAGATACGTTAGACTATTCTAATTCTATCCTTAGTTTTCCCTTGTTCTATCTTGTTACATGGATGTTACTTCTTCTTGGATAGTCCTGACCTGTTTCACGATCATGGAAGTTGATTGCGTACGATAGACTTCCTTTCAATACCAGATGTCACGTTCCCGGATCGATTTCTCAGAGCTTATCCTGTCTAATACTTAGGAATTGAAGTAGCTGTAAATTCCCCTGTTCTTGGTTTGAGGTGAAGATGATATGATCCTCATCCTACCCTCGCACTGATGTCGGTACACCACAAGGAGGTTTTGGATGTAGTTGACTTGACAAGTATGGTCTGCCACGCCCTAGCCACTCTACACTAGGATGCATTCTCATTTACCACTTTATTATTGTGGAATTGAGGTACTATATCTTACTCCAGTTAGGATCTCTTTCCTACCACCTTCTCTCCTACTAAGATGTGCTCCTCTCATTTTCTGCCCTGATTTTTAAACATTCTACAACTAGGTAAAGAGTATACTTGGGTAAGAAGTGGTGTGATTCCTCTCTTTAAACCTTCAGATCTGACTCTCTCATCTACAGGGGTGATCTTCGGATGCTTTCTGTGAGTATGTCTGTTCTTCCCTCACACTGGTCCCGCCTTCTAATCAATGTGGGATTCTAGCTCATCTTGTGAGCTGTGGGAAATACCATAACGGAATTAAATTTTCAGTATAGGAAAATTTTAACTTTTTAGGTTTAAAATAAATTTCAAACAGATACTTACCTCTGTGATGCATGAATGTATAAATACATCAACAGTCATCTCTTGTATTTCTCAGATTTTGTTCTTATTCTCTAGTTTGATTATCAGTATGTTTTACCTTTGTCTTTCTCATGTTCCTGATATAATGAACATCTTAGCATATTCCTTTTCTTTAGTTTGTTGGCTTCTTCCCACAGGGTGGATACTGAATGGACTGGCATCCTATCCAGGGGAATATGTCAATATTGAAACTGGAGTTGAGTACTGGTTCATCAGTGCTACCTCTGCCTTTGAATCAGTTGTTTTCAAGGTCATTCAAACCCAAAGTCTTGTATTTGTTGAGAGAGAACAACTAAGCAGGAAAAGACTTATAGTATTTTATGTAAAATTATCAGTTTTATTTAGACATTTAAAATATAAAATTTGATTTCAAATCTGTCATGTGAAGACATGATTTATCTCTTTCTGGCTTAAAGTTTCACTATAAATGTATATCACCTAGCCAGTTAATAGAAACTTACACTGTGTATGAATAAAGACATAAATTTGTTTACTTGTGTTTCTTGTTTTAATGTTCGTAATTATTTTCTACACTTTTCTGGTAATTGATACTTTACTGGTGGATGTTACTGTATCTATGAACCATAGAGAAAGTTGTACATTGTATGATATTTGAGTATGATTTAGTGAAGCATGATTTATACTCAGACTTGTTATAGACAAATCTACATTATTTATACTTCTACCAACAGGAAAAGCTGGTTCCTTACAAGAAAGACCTTTACATACCATTTTGAAGTCTGATTTAGTAAAAGAGGAACAAGAAGAAAAGTATGAAGCAACAGAAAAACCTGAGGTAATTTGTAGTCTAAAGATTTTATAGTTTTATTATTGAAGTGATCGTATAGCTGTAATGATGTCTTTTGGGGTTTAATTTGACTAGAGCTGAATCATTGTTCAGATGTTTGTAGTCTCAGTATTAAGAAATTCACTAACAGTTTAGTAAACTGTTCTCTAGAGCTGTTACAATGTTACTGTATCATTAATGTTAAGTATTCACATGTGCTACGCTGTTCTTATTGTTATTTAATGTAGGATTAAATGTGTTCACAGATGTTACACTGTTCATATTCTAGTATAAGTGATAGCTCTAAACATACTTTACACTTATTATTTCAAGGTTAATGTTAACAGTTCACAGATGTTACACTATTGTTGTAGCATAAATGTTAAATGTATAGCATGTTTCACCGTTCGTATTATATCATTAATGTGAACAGTCCACAGATGTTACACTGTTCATATTGTATCATTAATTTTAACTGTCCACATATATTACACTGTTCTTATTGTATCATTAATGTTAACTGTCCATAGATGTTAGCTGTCTACAGATATTACACTGTTCTTATTGTATCATTAATGTTAACTGACCATAGATGCTAGCTGTCCACAGATATTACACTGTTCTTATTGTATCATTAATGTTAACTGTCCACAGCTGTTACACTGTTCTTATTGTATCATTAATGTTAGCTGTCCACAGATGTTACATGGTTCATATTGTTACGTATATGCTTGTTTGATAATTTCCGGTAAAAATTCTTTCCGAGTGACTTCAGCGATACAAGTCCTTTCTTAAATAAAACTAGTTTATTCTTTCTCAATACAACATTGGAATACACAGAATTTCCACGGTCACTTTAACTTCAACACACGCTATAATTCACAACGAATCACACACTTTACTTACGGTCTATCTGCAATTATTATCTCCGCTTTATTTGCCGGGTTATATAATAAAATAGAGGGCATCTGGCAAACACTCGAGCCTTCATGATCCTTCTAGAAACTCATCACATGTTACCAGAGTCACTTGACTTCCGCTGTCGTTACACTATTGTATCATTAATGTTAACTGTCTACAAATGTTATACTGTTCATATTGTATCACTAATGTTAGCAGTCCACAGATGTTACACTGTTCATATTGTATCATTAATGTTAACTGTCTACCGATGTTATACTGTTCATATTGTATCACTAATGTTAGCAGTCCACAGATGTTACACTGTTCATATTGTATCATTAATGTTAGCAGTCCACAGATGTTACACTGTTCATATTGTAACAATAATGTTAGCTGTCCACAGATGTTACACTGTTCATATTGTAACAATGATGTTAACTGTCCACAGATGTTACTCTGCTGATATTGTATCACTACTGTTAGCTGTCCACTGATGTTACGTTGTTCATATTGTTTCATAATGTTCACAGACATTACAATTTGTATCATTAATGCTGTCTTTGTAAGTGTTTATATATTTATTACATATAATTAACTCTGAAATTTTATATTTATATCATTATGTAAAGTGTACTTTTTACTGTAATGTGTTAGTAATTTGTATTTTTATTAACCTGTTGAATATGTTGTTTGGTTTTAGAACATATTTGTCATGGTGACAAAAGAACAGTCTGATGATTTACCACAAAGTGAGGTTATTTCAAAGTTCAATGAAAGTAGTGATGATGATTTGGATAGTTCAAAATGTGGTGTTATCAATGTGAAAACAGAAACTGAATTCCAAGAAGATTTACAGTATGTTGAATCTAAGTTGGAAAGTACATCTGGTAAGTAGAAACATCTAAAAACTGTATATTAACAAACACTGGCTTAAGCGAAATGGTTGAATTGTTGGTACTTTTGTAAATGTTATTGAAGAAACTATTAATTTGAGATATATGAGATCTGTTGTTCATGGGAATTATTGTGTGAAATGTTTTCAAATAATAAAAATGACAAAATAATTGATAAGATGTTGAAATAAAGTTTGAATGGAAAGAACAGTCATTGTTACTATAAAATGAAACAGAAGAAAACTTTTAATTGTGTAGTTTTTGACTTCCATTTTGTATAGACTTTGTAAATAGTGGTTGGGATGAATTTCAGTTTTAAAATATACAGAGAATATACTGCTGTGAGTATAGGTTGGAAACGGTTTTTGTATTTCAACACATGCAGAGAATGTGCTGCTATGAGTAGTGGTTGGAACCAATTTCTGTAGATTAGTATTTCAACATATCTGAAAAATGTGCTTGACACTGTGATTGGTTCTGATATTGTCAAAACGTAATTGTTGAATCAAGTACTTATGATAGATCACAAAAATAAGGTAATGTATGATACTAACTATATTAACTATGTTACATCATATATTTTGATCTTAGATATAAAGACCAGTGTGAACATCTGTTGTGGAAGTGAGTGTCCTGGTGATCATGTTTTCAGAAAAGAAGATATGTTTAGAGCAGTGAAGAAATTCTTAAAGTCAGACAGTGATGTTTATGGAAAAACAAATTTAAATAACTTAAAACAACCTGATATACAACAGAGTGTAGATAAACCATACAGTCAGGTAATCTGTGGAAATGAATCTGTAACAGTGGATTACAAAAACCAAGACACAAGGATACATACTGAAAATAACCCATATCTTTGTATAGTGTGTGGAAAACATTTTGGAAGAAACTATAGCTTAAAAATGCATCAGAGAATACATACTGGGGAGAAACCTTACAATTGTACAGTTTGTAAAAAACAGTTTGGAACAAACAGTACCTTAAAAATACACCAAAGAATACATACTGGGGAGAAACCTTACAGTTGTACAGTTTGTAAAAAACAATTTCGAACAAATAGTGAATTAAAAAAGCATGAAAGAAGACATACTGAGGAAAAACCTTACAGTTGTATAGTTTGTGGAAAAGCCTTTAGAACAAGTGGTGATTTAAAAATGCATCAGATGATACATACCAAGGAGAAACCGTACAGTTGTGCAATTTGTGGTAAAAACTTTAGAATAAATGGGGAATTAAAAAAGCATAAAAAAATACACACTGGGAAGAAACCTTATTGTTGTGCTATTTGTGGAAAAGACTTTAGAACAACTGCTGAATTAAGAATACATCAGATGATACACACTGGGGAGAAACCCTACAGTTGTGCAGTTTGTGGTAAAAACTTTAGAATAAATGGGGAATTAAAAAAGCATCAAAAAATACATACTGGGGAGAAACCTTATTGTTGTGGAGTTTGTGGAAAACAATTTCAAAGTAACTCTAATTTAAATATGCATCAAATAATACACACTGGAGAGAAACCATACGGTTGTGAATTTTGTAGAAAACAATTTCGAAGTAACTATTACTTAAAAATTCATCAAAGAATACACACTGGAGAGAAACCATACAGTTGTGAAGTTTGTGGAATAAAATTTCGAAGGAACTCTTATTTAAAAATGCATCAGAAAATACACACTGGAGATAAACTTTAAAGTAGTGAACTTTGTGGAAAAGAATTTTCAAAGAAACACTTAATTAAAAATTCTACATAAACTACACGCACTGGGTATGAACTATACAGTTTTGCAGTTTGTTGAAACAGTTTGGAATCAGGGCTGGCCTTAGGAGGGTGCGGGGTCTGAGGCATTTGCCTCAGTAGCCTTGCCATAAGGCCAACCCTATTTAGTAAATGAAAAATGTACATTATTGATAAACAATATTGTTGTCTGCTGTGTTGTTCAAACAAATGAACGTAGAAATTGTTTAAACCAGATAAGACAGGATTAAGTGTATGGATCTATTTTTGATGTGCTTTAATACTTTTAGTTGGGAACATTTGTATGTAAGGGTGTGAAGTGGTAGAATGAGAACATATTGATTAATAAAAGATGATAAAATTAATCTGAATGGAATAGAGGGCCAGAATAGTCATTGTTTCTATAATGAAACAGGAAAACTTTATAACTGACAGTTTTTCTTCCTGGTTTTTTTATGTATAGACAGTGAGTATTGGTTCGAACCAGTGTCTTTATATTATAATTTCAACATGTACTGAGAATGTGCTGTTATGAATGATTTACATTGATTTGATTTTCTGAACACTCGCAGCCTTCTGGATTCTGAAACTTCAATGATCTCAAATCCCTTCAGTCTTATTATCTTTTATGTTGAAGAAAGTAATCATTCAGTTTGTACTAAGATTATTCTGTTCTAAAGAATGAATAGAATATTGATAAACAGTTTTATTTTGTCTAAATCTTGGTATTTTTGGTATATAAGTTACATATAAAACTTTTGAAAAGGAACTTGAGAATATTGATTTCATTAAATATGTTCAGAGAAGAGAGATTTTGTTATAATCAACCACTTAAAATGGGAAGATATCTCTTAAAATTAACCCAGAAATCACTAACTCAAAGTAATATTGGTTGTTGTAAGAATATACCATCATATTTACATAGTTGAATTTAGACTTAGTCTTGAATATGGACTTATACCTACATTTTTCTGTTTTCAGTATTAATTCAATATAGAAAACTTTTTTATGAAGTGTGAAACTGTATAAATTGCATCTTAATTATTTTTTATCTTAAATGTTTGACATTCATTGTAAAAATCATTATATTTAATTTAAAAGCTCATCAAATAAAGTAATGTATGAGGTATTTATTATTAAAACCTGGTGTGGCATTTTAGTTTGGGTGCTCAACTCACAATCTACAAGTCATGGGATCAAAACATGTTAATTAACATGCTTGCTTTTTCACCTGTGTAATGTGACAGTCAATCCTACTATTGGTTGGTAAAGAGTAGCCCTAGAGTTTATAGTAGGTATTGTTGACTAGCTTCCTTCCCTCTAGTCTGTCACTAGAGATATTAGTGATAAACAATACAAGAAAAGGAAGCTTTATCACTTGGTTTAAAGTTTGACAGAGGAATAGGAGGAAGAACTTTCTTAGACTATGACGGTTCTGCTATGATTGGTGTCTAGCGAAAAGCTTCAGCAGATATTTATTTGCAACATCTCAACCAACAATTGGTCCAGTTATCAACGCTATTTTCAAGTTTTTAACAGCTCGACTTTCAAGATCTACATATCTACATGTGCCGATGTTTCCGTTTATCAGCGTTATATTTTAAGATCTGTGCAAGAACTCAGCTAACAGATGTTTCCGCATATAAAAGTTATCTTCAGGTTTTATACACCAACAAACTTTTCAAACATATAACATTCTAATGTGTGTCCATATATTATATCAGTTACTATGGCACATAGAACATTATAGTATATGTCCATGTTTTATATCAATTACTACAACACACATATAACATTTTGATGCATGTCCATGTATTATATCAATTACTACAACACATATAACATTTTAATGTGTGTCCATATATTATATCAATTACTACAACACATATAACATTTTAATGTGTGTCCATATATTATATCAATTACTACAACACATATAACATTTTAATGTATGTCCATGTATTATATCAATTACTACAACACATATAACATTTTAATGTGCCTCCATATATTATATCAATTACTACATCACATATAACATTATGTGTATCCGTGTATTATATCAATTACTACAACACATATAACATTTTAATATATGTCCATGTATTATATCAATTACTACATCACATATAACATTCTAATGTGTGTCCATATATTGGAGGGGAGAAGGAAGAACCTCCATATCCAAATCTCTTGCCTATATAATCATCTTCCCTCCTCATCTTTAAAATGCTTAAAAAAAAAGAAGTTAAATATTTAATCAAAAAGTGCATATAGTTTTTATTTTATATGGTAATGGTTAGGTTATGCTATGAGATAAGTCTATTTATTAATTAATTACATATTTAATGAATAACTGCTGATTAGTTTTTACCCTCTATTTCGTGCTTCTGTCTTCAGAGAAGTCTCGAGAAGGACTGTATCTGGTGGAAGAATCCGGAATTCAGATATGGTTCGTCTTGTTAGAAACGAAGGTGTGCTACCTACCCTTTTTTATGGGTTTTAGCCCTACTGGTTCTTGATTTGACTATTTGGATGCTTTCGAGAGAGGTATTCAGGTTGTGCTGACTTCTGTGGTAAGATATTAATGGACCACACACACACACACAAC